CAAAGACCATAGCCTATATCAGACTCACCTTAGTCTCCAGAGTGACACCATTGCTCTTCAGTACCGTGGAGAAATGAATCACATGGGAAAAGAAAATACCAGGCATAAAAAGCGTTCACACACGTGTTGATGCTTGATCTCCGTTAAGCTCCTAAGGAGAGACCTATGAAAGAAAGCACTTTATCTGAAAAATAGAAATATAAGAGTTTAATAATATTTGAATGAATGAAGAGACAGGAGTCTCAAATCAGCAAGGAGTGGTTAGGAAATACCAATTAAAAGTGTCAAAATATTCAGCCTTTGAGGTGAAATTCCCGTTATTCTTTCTCTTATGCTTCATTTATTTTTAAATTTTTTTCCTCCCTGGGTTGTCCTCCCCTAGCACATGTAAGTAATAATGTTGGCTACCTGTTTTCTCTTCAAATATAATTTTTCGTATTTTGAGATAATCATAACAGGTCTGCAGTATAGCTAGTTTTGAAATCTGTCCTAATCACTAATCAGCATTCAATAATGTTGCTAGGTTTTATAGTTTTAATGGAGGATGATAATTATTTTGCCATCCGCATATTTTTTCTGTTTTAACTTAATGTTCATTCTCATGTTCTGTTTGTTTTTTTTAAAGCGTCTTGCTCGAACTGGGATCATAGTTACTACGAGTGAGGCAGTTCTGCTTCAGCTGGTGGCCGATAAAGATCATCCAAAATTCAAGGAAGTTCAGAATCTCATTAAGGCGAGTGCTCCAGAGTCGGGTCTGCTTTCCAAAGTATAGGACACTTGGAGGACTGGTATACCATTTGCCATCAGAACTGTGAGCCCAACAGAGCCTTGAGCCCAGAAGAAGCTTATTCCCTGCTAAATTAAAATGTTAAGTCAAAAATTGGCTCCTTTTTTGCACCTCTTAGTAAAAGCTATCCACCTAGACCATTCAAAAACCAACGTTTAGTTACAAATATCAAAGGCTTCGGGTGCTGCTTACTTTTTTTGGTTTTGTTCATGTGCTTTTATTTATTTAAAAAAAAATATATTACAGTGGAGGTGCCTGTTTTGTCTACATTGTATACATTGGTCATAAATTTCCAAAGTGCACACTCTTGTGGAATTTCTTAATTGTGCACTGTAAAGAACAAAAGTAAAATGTACTGATAATTGACTTTTGTATTGTAAGATGTATGTTATAATGTTAATGTGGCTTCATTGCTTTTACTTTACAGGTTGATTGAAATAGGATTATTGTATGAGCATTTAAAAACAACATTCTGGAGTATTTTACCTTCTTCCCTCACAATGTTGTTGATTTACTTATTGAGTGAGTTGCCTTGATCTAACTAAACCAAATTATATTACATAGTATAAATCTTTCTTGATGTTGCTGATTTTCTGGCCCTAGTCACTAATTCTCTGTCAATGTTCTTTTCTGTAGCTGACTCATTTACCTTGAAAAACTCATTTGAGTCATTACTTATTTTAAATGGATGGAATAATTACCAACGCTATGTAATGAATGGAGGGCTTTTAATGTGACTGGAGCTGAGTATCCTATAACCTTCTTGAATACATGCACACAATTTAGCAAAATGGTAAAGGTTGAATAAAGTTTTTAAATGTCCTGATGCTATTTCAGCTAACTTTTCCACTCACCCTCCAAATATTATTGTTAATGGCAGAGATCTGTAGTGTTTAATAGTATCAATATTAGAGTCATTGTTACCCTTTAATACATTTGCTCATTTTCATTACTTATTAGAGGATTTTGAACTTTTTTGGAAGTATTATGTGAAATATGGAACATTGCTGTCTTTTATATTAAAGTAATTAAAGAAAATTTATTTCTCTGAATGAACTTTTTTATCCCCCAGAATATGACTCGCTGATTGTTATTTCTGGGATTCTAATAGTTACTTAAAGGTCATAAAATTTTTACATTTAGAATCTTACAGCGTATGAGAATTTTTAAAGAAAGGAAAATCCATTTTGAGTAAGGGGTGGTGAATTTTACTGAAAGACATATTTCTTAATCAAGAGTAATAGAAATGTTTGGTTTTTTTTGTTAATGGTAACAACTAGCTCTCTAGAGTTTTACTTGTGGGTATTTTTAGATTTCTCCCCTCCCCAGTAAACTTGCACATCAAAAGAATCAAAGATATCTCCACATTTAAAAAAATAGGTTTTAATCAGTTTATTCTAATACTTACCAAACTGTAGAACCAAAAACTCATTGCCATTCTGCCTTGTAGGTAATAGTTACGCTCTAAGACATTGTATCACTGCACCGTAGGGATTCCAAAGCTGCAAATAATTATAGAAACAAAATGCCACATGTTTCTCCTTACTAGCAGTTAATGATGGGTTTGACCCATTGACTTTTCAGTTAGCAGCAGAACTCTTAGACTATACCACTAAGGCTCCTAGAGTCAGGCACTCAACCCATAGTTGAGCCTCTGATAGGTTTTCAGAGGCAGTTAATCTCACAGAAGGAGATTGCCCATGCTTCTCCCATGGAACAGCTGTTAGCTTCAATAGAACCCCCTGGGTCTTGTTAAAATGCTGGTTTCTGATTAAGTAAGTTTGGAATCCCACATTTCCACTCACCTGCTAATTGGTGCTAGAGCTGCTCAGAAAGGCCTACCAGCACAACTGTTTCTTCCCCTGAACCTAAACCACTGCTGTGAAGCCTTCTCTAGGCCAGAACCTTTACAATTGCCCCATGTTGGAATAATCTTTCCGTTACAGCAAATCATCACAAACGTTGTTTCAAAGAACACAGATTTGTTACATTACATTTCTGGAGGTCGGAATTCCAGAAATCAAGGAGTTAATTGGGGCTGCATTCACGCTGGAGTGTTGGGGGGAAAATTCTTTTGGGGGGGTTCTTATCCTCTAGTGGCACATTTTCACTTTGAAAGGCTGATGTGGTCCTTGTTTTTTAGAATCTCTCACTCTTGATTATATTAGGGCAATCTGGGTAGTCTGGTAAATAAGGATAATTTTCTGGTCTTAATGTCAGCTGACTAGGAATGATAGAAGGAGAACTGATGCCTTTGAGCTGTGGTGTTGGAGAAGAGTACTGACTATACCATGGACTGCTAAGAGAGCAAACCGGTTCATTCAGGAGAGAGTGAAACCAGGCTGCTCCTTGGAGGCAAGGATTCTGAAGCTTCATCTGACATACTTTGGGCATGTTGCAAGGAGGGACCAGTCCTTGGAGAGGGACATCATGCTTGGGAGGGTGAAGGGGACAGTGCAGGAGAGAAAGGCCCTCGATGAGATGGATTGACTCAGTGACTGGAGTAATGAGGGTATATGTGTCGGAGAAAATAAAATAAGGTCGACTCAGAATAGAGCAGGGTTTAGAACTGTTGTACATAGTATTGCTATAAGTTGCAAGCTGCTTGATGGCACATAACAACAAAATCAGCTGATTTGCAACTTTAATTTCATTTTGTAGTCTTAACTCAGTTTTCCATGTAAAACAACAGTATCGTGGATTCTGAGAATAGGACATGCCAGTTTTTGGTAGCTAGGGGATAGCATTATCCTGTATATTACAGACTACCCCAGTGTGTTTTAACATTTCATTCTGTTGTCATATTTACATCTTGCCCACTGTAAGCTCCTTGAAAACTGAGATTATTATCTGTACTCTGGAAGCACATTTGAAAATTTATGTATTAGGGATATAAAAATGCTCCCAAGAAGCTCATGGTCAATAAATGTGAAGTTAATTGAATTGTGTCAAAGGTCCAGAAATATTACTATGCTGTTAAATTTCAGAGTACTTCTAAATTCTCCAAACAAAATGTTCTTAGGTGCTGTTGAGTTGAGTAAATTCACAGTGACCTAATAATGAACAGCGGATCTGAACTTTTGTTTTCTGTCCCATCCTCACCATTTCTGACACATTTAAGCCCTTACAGAAGTCATAATGTCAATTCATTGCATTTAGAGTCTTCGTCTCTTTTACTGACCCCAATCAGAGTGACACAGTCTTGTTATAGGAATGATGAATTTATTTTAATACACTAAGTCTTGAAATTAGAAGTATCTATAATCTGTTGTTAAGTGCTGTGCTATCAGCTACAACTCAGAGTGACCCTATAAACAGTCTGAACCCTGCCTTATCTTGTGTCCTCCTCATGAACTCTTGACACATTCGAGCCCACCATAAGAGTCATTTTGTCAGTCCAGTTCATTGAAGATCTTCTCACCTTCACTGACCCTCCACCTTCCCAAGCATGAAGTGCTTTCCTAACGACTAGCCCCTCCTAACAAAAGGCCCAAAGATCATGAAGTTATTTTAAATTTTGTTAAGAAATCAAGAACATTAAGTATTCCAGTATATTGGCTTGCAGTGGGGACAAAGATCAAGATCAGGAAAATATGTTGATTAAGAGGTTTAAGCATCTTTCAGATCTCAATCTAAAACTTAATAGTGGCAAAAATAACACTTTTTCAATAAGAAAACCATATACTCTTTTTTGACCATTACAATAACATTTCTCTATTTGTTCCTGTTCCTGTTAAGTGCCATCAGATCTACTACCACTCATAACGACACTATGAACAGCACATTGAAGCCTTGCTATATATGATGCCATCCTCACTGTCAGCCATACTCAAGAGCATTTTTCACAGTTACTGTGTCCCTCAGTTCATTGAGAGGCTTTCTCTCGATTGGTAACCTCTTTTCCTCAGCATATCTTTCTTAAGGACTGACCCCTCTTGACAAAGTGCCCAAATAAACAAAGTAAGTATAACAGTATGTTGACTGCAGTGGGGATAAAATCAAGTTCAGGAAGCCTCGTTTAGTGAAAGGTTTAAACATCTGCATGTTCTTTATCTAAAACAGAGACAAAGATGGTTTGACAAAGTTGAAACTTGGCCTCTGCAGAGGACCCTTGTAGTACTTCATCCAAGACAAATTTATTTGTTCTTTTGACAGTCTATGTAATTTATCCCCAGTACAAAGACATTAATTCTTGGGTCTTCCTTATTTATTGTCCAACTTTCACTTCTAATTGAGAAATTGGACGTGCCATGGCTTAGGTCAGGTGCACCGAACCTTTAAACTGACATACTTCCTTATTTAAAATTTAGTTTATGTAAATAAGGAGCCTAGGTTTATCAAGTGTGTTGAATGCTACACTGCTAAACCCAAAGCTGAAAGTCAGGTCTACTATCATGTGTGCTTTCCTCCTGTAAGTATTTTGACCCTGTCCTGCTGACAGAGAGTTGGTGTGTGTTGCTCTAAATAGAAGGCAGTAGGTTTGAGTTTGAATGTGACTTGACCTTGTTGTTGTTAGGTGTCATCAAATCAAGTACAACTCATAGTGAATGCGTGTCCCACACATCTGAACCTCGTCCTATCCTTGTCATCCTCACAATCTGTGAAACACTTTAGCTCATTTCTGCAGTCATTATGTCAATCTACATGATTGACAGTCTTCTCTTTCACTATCGTTGCACCTTTCCAAGCATGATGTTCCTCTCTAATGAATGGCCTCTCCTTGCAACATGTATATGAAATGAAATTTTATCTTTGCCTCCAAGGAACACTCTGGCTACACATTCTCCGTTTGTTCTTTTGCCAGTTCATGGATATTCAATAGTCTTCTCGAATACAATCATTCAAAGGCATCAATTCTGTCATTCTAATTCATTGTTCAGCTCTCAGCAACATATCAAGTGACTGAAAAGACCATGGCCTGAATAAGATGCACCTTGGTCCTCAAATTAACATTATGGGTCCCCAATAATTTGGAGAGTCAGATA